TTTTTTGCAGTTCTTTGTGCTGCAGGTGTTTGGTATTTGCTATGGGATGGCAGTAGGAAAATATTTTATCCCCTAATTTGCATATACAATAGAATATTTACATAATTACTCATTAATAATTATTCTTCAGTGCTCCATATGGGAGTAAGTGGGGTGGAGAATAATAGTAATAATATCAGAGGTGTTACTCCAATCCGGAGCACTATTTATGGGCTTTATGCACTATAAATAAAAGGAAGACAAATAATAGCGTCTGGTGCAGAAAATGCCACGCTGCCTGGAGGCAATTTTTAATTTATTTAATTTATTTAATTTATTTAATTCTAAAAGTCTGAACAGAAACAGTTCCTGTGTCAGAGCGAAGCAGCCACTTCACCGGACCTAAAACGCCACACGACAGGGGAGCGGGATCCAGGGCGGGGATGAAACCGCGCCGCGAATTCCCTGGAAAAGCAGAAATCCCAAAATCCCAGAAAATGTCATTCAGCACCCCCCTCCGGCAGGAGCCGGGTGGTGCCGCCCCGCGTCCCCCCCGCGCCCCCCATGGTATCTCCCGCCCCTCCAGCGTAGCGGGCCGCGCCCCCCGCGCGCGTCACGGCCGTGCCCGCCTGCGATTGGTGGATCCGCGACGCCTCGCGCGCAGCGGCCAATGGCGGCGCTGGGCCCGCCCGGAGCCAAGATGGCGGCGCCGCGGGCTGCGGGCGGGCGGGCCTGAGGCGGCTGCGGGGGCCGCGCCTTGCTCCGCGCCCCGCGCCGCGCCGGGGCCGGCCGGCCGGGGGTCCCCGCTCCCCGCCCGGGGCTGGCCGGCCCGCCGCGCCCGCCCCGCCCTCCGCCATGGCGGCCGAGAGCGGCAGGCAGTTCTGGAAGCGGAGCGCCAAGCTGCCGGGCAGGTGAGCCCCGGGAAGGGGTGCGAGGGCCGCGCCCCCCGCGCTCCGGCGGGGAAGGGGCGGTGACCCCGCCGGGTTCGGGGCTGAGGGTACCCCGGTAAGGCTCGGGGATACCCGGAGGATCTGTCCTGGCTGCGGGGCTGAGCTGGCTGGGGTTCCTCCCTGGAATAGGGGGGTGCCGGGGCCCCCCCAGGCTGTGGGACGGGGGTTTTGCTGTGGAAGGTTCAATGTGTGGGGGACAAGGGCAGAGTCAGAGCTGCTCCCTCCCCTGTGGGACCAGGCCGGCGGTTTGGGGGCTGCGGGGACCCCTGTGTGCCCCATGGCAGGCAGGGTGGAGGGATCAGGGTGCCTTGGAGGCCTCTTGGGGGTAGGCTCAGAGCCAGGGCTGGGCCATCTTCCTTTCCAGATACTGAAAAAACTCATCCTTCCGAAGTCCTGAGGGGTGTCGGCTTGGCTGGCAGCAGCTCTGTCCCAGAGGGGTGTCCCTGCTGAGGCATGGAGCCCCCCATTCCCCTCTCCTGTGTGGGATGTCGCTCCTGCTCAAGGGGAAGGACTGTGAGGGCTCTGCTTGTACCTCCCCTGCCTCAGTTCCTCAGGCTGTGATGCCCTGGTTCCTCCCAAGGCACCTCTCAGGGATGGGAGAAACAAGTGAAATGTGTGATTGCCATGGTATTTAGGAAGAAGAGGCTGGTGCTGATGAAGGAGAGGCTCTCTATACCGCCTTGGGAGCAAGGCCGACATGGAAAGAGGGCATCAGACTCTCTGTGGAGGCTTCTCAAGTGCTTTTCCTACCTGGTGCTCCTCACTTTTGCTCTCATTTGCCTTATCTGAACCCTGCCCTTCGCCTCGTGGGGTATGGGTGCAGTCTGAAATGCTTAGTTGGTTTTAAATCCTGCTGGGCCAGTTAAATATCTCTTTCTAAAGTGTTTTCACTCATGTGCTTGTCACTGTGCAGCTCCTTCAGGTTGGCTGGACAATCCATGTCTGTGTAAGCAGAGGGAGAGCACGGAGCTCTCTGTTCCTCCTCTGCTGCCCCTGTGGGAGGACAATCCTGTGCTTTCCCTGGGTTATTTCCCGACTGCTCCTGCCTCTTACCCGAAGGTGTCAGCCCTGCTCTCAGCTGGTGGTCGTGGACAGCGCCTCTCTTCTCCTTTTGGTGACTTCTGAGCTTTTCCTTGGAAGCACAAACCAGGTGAACCGGTCTGGCAGCCGGGCCTGCCCCAGCCACTCTGCAGGGGGAAGGTTTTGGCAGTGCTCCCCCCTTCTCCTGCCTGCCTGGCAGGTGTCCTGCACCCATCCCTTCCTCCTGAGTGCTGCCTGTTTCCAGGGACAGTCACCCACAGGCCTCAGCAGCCTGACCCCAGTGTGGAGGTGGGATGTCCTGCATCCATGGTCACCAGACATCAACCTCCCTTTCTTCTTTTTAGTCTGAGCTTTGAGAGACCCTCCTGTGCACATTCTTGGCTCTCTCCTTTCTTTCCCCTGGCAATCTGGCAGAGAGAGGCTTTGTAGGGGGGACTTGGTTACTGTGTTAGTTTCCTTTTCCATGACACTTTGTGTGTTTGGTCACTTAGTTGTATTAGCTTTTATTTGCTAATAAAGTTGATTAGCTTTTGGTCCCTGTAGATTAAGGGTGGATTTTGGGTATAAGTTTAGAACTGGTAAATGCTGTTTTGTTTTTCCAGTGCTGTCTTTGGTTTTTTGCACTGGGAATTCTCTGCCTGGTAATTTTCTAGGGATGTGTTGGCTGAGTGCTCTGGCATGTTGTCCTCTGTGATGTGGTGTTTATTCCTGCTCTTTAGAGAGATGGGCAGCCAGGGTCTGCTGGGGTTATTTAGATGCTGTTGTAAAAGGGGACAAACAGCCTGCTGGAAGTAAATGTGTTGTGTGTCCAGAGGGCAGTGGTGTTTCATGCTCTGCTCTGCTGCAGGGTCAGTAACCCACACCCTGTGATGATCCTGGAGGTGTCACACAGGGAGCACAGCCATTGTCCCTCACACCATTGGTCACTGAACATCCAGGGAACAGGAAATGCCTGTCCCAAAGAGATTAAACTGGGACAGAACTGGGGATTCATCCAGTCAGGCTGGGAGCCCAGCTTAGATCAGTTTGAGGTTCTTGGTGGGGAGTGTGGCTTGTAAGGCTTCAAAAAGAGCTGTGTGCAGGGGGGACCCTCTGCCATTGTATCAAACACTGATCCAGAACCCCAGGAAAGGGTTCCCTCCCTTCCCCAGCACTGGCTGCTCTCCCCTCCTCTCTCTAACACATCCTTCACTGGTCTTGTGAAGTCCAGGCCTTCCCAGGTGAATCAGAGCAGTTCCCCTGTGGGTCCCTGACAGGGAGGAGGAGCCTTGGCTGGACATCCTGGGACGCTGAGCTTGGTTCTGGGCATGGGAGAGGCTCTGCTGGCTCCTGTCCTGCCACAAGTCACTGGCAAGCAATGCTGATCTGGAGGGCTTGTTCTTCTTACTCCTCATCATCTCTTTGCTATGTCCACCCATGGAGGTGCCTCTGCTTAATTGCAGTCCTGACTTCCAGGTGCTCATTACTCATCACACTCTGTCCTAGGCTTAATCCTCGATGGATAAACTCAGGGAGGACTTCCAGCCACGAGGGACAGCCCCTGCAGTGGTGAGCCCACCCTGGCTGGGCTGCTCCCCCAGGATCTCTCTGTGCTCTGGTTGTTTCCAGCCTCTTCCCTGGCTCTCTGCATCTCTCCCCTGCCAGCTGGACCTGTTGCTTTTGCATCCTCAGCTTGTTCTCAGCTGCAGCAGGCTGCCATCCCTCCCCTCCATGGCTGGGCCTGCTGGTTTTACTGCCGGGCACCATCTGCAGCTCCTAGAAACCAGGCCAGCTCTATTGACCCAAGAGAAGCTTGTTCCTTGTGTGCCAGCTCTGAAAGGGCCTTTGTCTGTGCCATGGCATTGCAGGACTTGTTTTCCAGAGGTTGTTTCCCAGGGTGGGGTGGCTGGGAATAGTTCCTCTAATGCAGGTGATAACTCAGGATCCCTGTCTCACCTCCAGAGTCTGTTAAAACAGTGATGAGCGTGGTTTTAGTAGCTCCTCTCTGAGGTGATGCTCCCCTTGTAGGGCCTGGAGCCCTCAGGCTCCTTGTCCCAAGGAACCAGGGACCAAGATGTGGTGACTCATTTCAGGCCACATAGGAAGTAATTGATTAAACCAGGATTTGGACCCGAGTCAAACCATGTATTGTTACCAGGAATTCCTTCTCTGTGGCATTGGCTGTGATCCTGAGAGCCAGCATGGGCTTCAAACCCTCGAGTACATTTATGGAGGAGCCCCAGTGTCACTGCCTGGGGTCCTTCCCTGTCCCACAGTGCCTGGGAGGGTGAGCTCCCCAAACTGGGGAAGAGAACAAATGTCAGTGTGTGCAGCAGGTAGACTGAGACACCTGGACATGTGGGGTGGTGCAGGAAAGAGCAGAGCTCAAATCCCAGCTCAGGCTGGACCGGGCCTAGGAGTTTAAACAAGGCTTCTCTTTGCTACTGCAAACAACAAATCTTCATCTGCATGTGGCACTTTGGATCTAAGGCTTGTAAGTTAGAAGGGTTCTGAAGCTGCTTTTGGGCTTTTATTCAGCTCTTGACAGCAGGCAAGAAGCATGACCCCAGTTTAGGCTGAGATTATTTGTAGGACTGCTTTTTACAGCATTTTGGATTTCTTTCTTTCCCCCTTCGTGCAGCATTCAGCCTGTCTACGGAGCACAGCACCCTCCACTGGACTCCCGGCTCACCAAGAAGTAAGTGTTTGTCTCCTGGAGATGCAGCCACCAGGCCTGGCAGCTCTGCAGTGGGTGGAGGTCTCCAGCATCCCTGCACTGTGAGATTGCAACAGAGAAGGACAGCAGTGCAAGGGCTGTGGTGCTGCCTTGAGCTCTGTGAAAGCCTGCAGGGAGAGCTTATCTGCTGGTGCCCTCAATGGCCAGAAATCCATACAGTAACACCCACATCAAAGGAAATAGATTTTTTTTTAGCAGTGTCTGATCCTTCTGCTCCTCTTTGGAGCTGGAGAAATTAAGGAAAGGAAGGTAAAGCTGCCCAGCAGCTACAGGGCTGGAGAGCTGCAGCAGGAAAAGGCAGAATTCCTGCTCTGAACTGCCTCCTTGTCCCTGTCCCGTGCTGGGTAGCGGGGAAAGTTCCCTGCTGCAGGTGGTGGACTTTGGCTCCTGCAGCTAAAGAGTAAATTCCTTCTGGGCCTGAGGAAAGAGCCAGGCTGGTCTGGCTGCTGGGAACAACTGCAGCTGTTTTGGGAGTGTCCATGGAAGGAGACCTGCTCTGTCTGCCTCTGACATGCCTCTCTCCAGGCTGTAAGACCTTTCTTGGGGTGTTGGGTGTTCTGTGTAGGGTGGGGGAAGGCAGAGCTGGAGCAATTGTACCTGTCTCCTGTTCACCCTTCTGAGCCTGGCAGGCTGGCACCTGTCCAGCTGTGTGCTGCCACTGTGGCCTCAGAGACTGCTGTGCCAGCAGCCTGTGACAGCCACTCCTGACAGCAGGCAGCCCAGAGAGACTGAACATCTCCCTTAGGTCTGGGAGGAGGAACAGGGAGACTGGGAAAAGGGATTGGCTGGTGGGAGTGAGGGCGTGGGGAAAGGAAGGGAAAGGAGATGAGCTGCTCCCACAGCAGGGCTCTGATCCTGCTCCTCTCCTCACAGCTTCATCAAGGACCGCTCCAAGGCCGGCGGGCTGCCCATGAAGAGCAAGAAGGCCTCCAGCTTCCACGAGTTTGCCCGCAGCACCAGCGACGCCTGGGACATCGGCGACGACGAAGACGAGGACTTCTCCTCCTCCTCTTCCTCATCCTCCTTGCAAACTCTGAACTCTAAAGTGGCCAAGGCCACGGCAGCGCAGGTCCTGGAGAACCACAGCAAGCTGCGGGCCAAGCCCGAGCGGTGCCAGCCTGCCCTCGGGGACCTGCCCACCAACTGCAAGGTCATCAAGTCCAGCAGCGAGGCCCAGCTCTCCAGGACCTCTGGTAAGGGCCACCTTCAGGAGCAGCCTCCTGCTCCAGTGCTCTCTTGCTTGGCCACTGAACTCAACTGCTTCTTGCTACTCCCAATATGGGCAAGAGGCTGTGACACAGCCCGTAAGCACAACAGAGGCTTTTTCTTCCTTTTGGAATCCTGTACTCCAAGGAGCCACTTTCAGAGGCCTGGCTTTAATGCTTGTGTCCTCAGCTGCTCAGTGTCTGCCCCAGAGTATTCCATGCTCTGGGTGCTGAGTCAGTTTTGAGATCTGTTAGGTTCTTGCTGGGACTTGCTCACTGTTTGTTTCACAGTGGTTTGGTGTGCTGCCCTTAGCAAAGATCTGGGTGAGGTCGTGTTGACACAGGGAATTGGGCAGCAGCAGCCCCTGCTCACTGCCTTGCCTGCCTGTGCAGTGAGAATACCTGAGGAGGTGGCACTGGCAGCCCATCAGCTCCTCTCTCTGCACTGGCAATCAGCTTGGTTGGTGTTTGCATCTGGTGAACAGAGCAGATCTAAATGTTAGTTGTGCCTTGTCTCCATGTGTGGAGGGAAGTCTGGTCCACTTGCAGCCAGGTGTTTGGATGCAGGGGGAAGGAAGGGAGGCAGAAATAGGGGGAAGTGGTGGAAGAGGCTCCACAGATGCCTGTGAACTGCTGATCCATTGGAGTGGGCCAGTGATGCTGTTCTGAGGGATAGAAGGGTGGAATCTGCAGCCACTGTGGGGTGAGGTGGGGTTGGAGAGGTGGAACCTCCATGCCCGGCTCAGTGCAGCCTCTGCTCCTTGCTAGAGGAGTCCTGTGTGCGGAGCCCCCTGCAGAAGCAGCAGTCCCTGCCCCTCCGGCCCGTCATTCCCCTCGTGGCTCGAATCTCTGACCAAAACGCCTCCGGGGCTCCCCCTATGACCGTGCGGGAGAAAACGCGCCTGGAGAAGTTCCGGCAGCTCCTCTCCAGTCACAACACCGACCTGGGTGAGTGGGGCACACTGAGGGTGGGCAGGGCAGGCCAGAAGGGGCTGCTGCCTGCATCAGGTCTGCTTCAGGGTGGAAAAAATCACTGCCTGCAGTTGTACCGCATGGGTGTTTGCAGGAATCGCCCTGCTGGCAGATGGTGATGTCCTCCAACCCCTCCCTGTCTGTCCCCAATCATTCTCCATCTTGCACATGATGGTTGGGATCACTGGGGCTGTCTCTGCATGAGAACTGAGGTCCTGGCCCATTGGTGACCCTGCAGCTCCCTGTTCTGTGCCCGAGCTGGGCTGAAATCTCCTCTGCTGTCCTTGCAGCAGACCCACATCCCCAGTCATTGCTAGTGTGGGAGCCTTCCTGGAGGCTCATTGTGTCCAGAGCCTGCAGGAGCAGACTGGGCTTTCCTCTCCTTCTAGGTGTAGTGGTGCCTGGACGTGCCTAGGATCTAATCCATTGCCACCACTGTCCGTTTGCAGATGAGCTGAGGAAGTGCAGCTGGCCTGGTGTGCCCAGAGAGGTGCGGCCTGTGACGTGGAGACTGCTGTCAGTGAGTACCAGAGCCTGGGAGGGCTGTGCCCCTCAGGGACAGTGCTCCTATGCCTGCTCTGTCCCATAGCCAGCTTTGCTCGTGTGTTCAGTGCCCAGCCTCCAGGTGAGCTGTAGGCTTTTTGATCAGGGAGTGCCATTGCTGCATCCTCTTGGAGCTCAAAGCCCAGGCCGGTGTGGGCACTGCCTGGTTCACTCCCTTTTGGAGAACTGAATCTCATGAAGTTGGATTACTCCAGGCTCAGGGGCTGGGAAGGCCAAATTCCATCAAAGCTCTCTCCCCATTTCCTGAGTTGTGTGCCTGGTGTTAGTGCACAGCTGGCAGGGTTTCAGGGTGCTGAGGAAGCAGAGGAGGCTCTGCCTGAGCTGAGTTCTCCCAATCAGGGTTACCTCCCTGCCAACTCGGAGCGCCGCAAGCTGACCCTGCAGAGGAAGAGGGAGGAGTACTTTGGCTTCATCCAGCAGTACTACGACTCCCGCAACGAGGAGCACCACCAGGACACCTACAGACAGGTGGGGACCCTCCTCCTGCCCCTGCTTTGGGAGAGCCCTCTCCTCCCTCTGGCTGCTGCTTGTCCCCATGGGGGGGTCATGCCAGGACTTGCTCTAGCTGTAGCAAGGAGGAGTCTTCTCTTTGGGGAAAAGGCACCGTGGTTCTGTCCTTGTTAGTTTAAGTTTTTCCTAAATTGATCTAACTTAGGAAAATTTCAGCTCTGAACTCCCTGCCTGCACACTAGCAGAGCAGACTGCAGATGAATTTCTCAGTACAGCTGTCATCCAGTAGCCCTCACTGTGCTTGCCAGCTCTTGCCTGGGGGAACACTCATGGTGGATTCCCCTCTGTTCACCTGTGACAAGTTACTGTGCCCCTGGAAAGCACAGCTGGTGTGTGTAACCCACCTTCTTTTCCAGATCCACATTGACATTCCAAGGACCAACCCACTCATTCCCCTCTTCCAGCAGCCCCTCGTCCAGGAGGTAAGGGGGGTGAAGCTCCTGCCCTGCACTTGCCATGGGATGTGTGTGTGGAGTGAGGCCAGCACTGCTCCTAGGGAGTTAACTCGGTGGGGAAATTTCTCTGCCTGACAGCTCCTGATGCAAACACCTCCTGGAACTGTCTGGTCTTGTCCCACGTTTCTGAAAGATACCAGACTTGGAGCTTGGGTGTTAGGAGATGATCTCTGCTTTGGCAAGATGTAGCCAAGCTGGTAAAAAACCTGAAGCTTTTGAGACAAATTGAAGGCATTTGAACCAGAACACAGGACAGTTCTGTTTTGCTTCAAAAGCTCTTTGATGGGAGCACCCTGGGCAGGAGTGGGTTCAAGAGGTGGCCAGGAGGTGTGGGCACCTGTCCTCTCTGCAACCAGGCTCAGTGTGTGTGTGTGTGTGGTGTGTCAGAGCATGGTGTCCATGGGGCTGGGGCAGTCTGGGAATGCTGGTGGCTGTGAGGGAGGCTGCCCTGTTGGGAAGTCTCCTGCTCTGTGGTGCTTTTCTGGAAGTTCTGTGCTGATACCTCATCTTCCCACCTGGTGTTCAGCCAAGGAGGCTGCTCTGCCCTGTCCTGTGGATATTAAGCTGAGTCTTGAAAAGTTGGGTCTGCATTTCTTCAGGCAGAGGTTTTGATGAGGAGCCTGGACTGTCTTGGCTGGCCTGCATGTGGGATCTGTGCATGGCACAGAGTCTCTCCTAGGACTTTCATGCTTCCAACATTACCCTACTGCTACAGAAAAGCCTGTCAGTGCATGGTCTGCACTCCCTGAGCTCAGCAGTTATGCTTTTCTGCCTTCCCTTCATGCATGGCTAATGCAGGTACCTGGTTCTTCCCTAGATTTTTGAGAGAATCCTGTTTATCTGGGCCATTCGCCACCCAGCCAGCGGCTATGTGCAGGGCATCAATGACTTGGTCACCCCCTTCTTTGTTGTGTTCCTCTCTGAGCACGTTGGTAAGTGACAATTGCTGCTCTGAGCACTCCTGACAGGGGATTTGAAGTGGTGTGAAATGCTGCCATGAGGAGAACTTGCTCTGCTGGAGAAGGGGATGATGTGCTCTTCCTTCAGAGTGCCTGGGCCTGGCTGGAGTTGTATTTTCACCTCTTGCTGTATCTCTGCTGTCTGGTTGCTTGCCAGGATTTCTGAGCCTCTGAAACTGGAAATGGGCCAGCTTAGCCCTGTTATTGATCTGATGCAATGGTGTGACAGCAGCGTGATGGGTGCTCTCCTCCCAAGGAGAAAAGGGAGGGAACTGCTGGGTCAGCCCAGCCAGGAGGGCCAGACCTGTATCTCCTGACTTGGAGAGTGCTGCAGTGCCTCCTGCAAAGCTTTGGCCTGATAAAGCCCCTGGGATTGTCCCATGTTCCTGGTGTCTCCCATCTCTCTGATGCTCTTCCCTCTCTGTTTTGCAGAGGAGGATGTGGAAAACTTTGATGTGACAAACCTGTCCCAGGATGTTTTACGGAGCATCGAGGCCGACAGCTTTTGGTGCATGAGCAAGCTGCTGGATGGGATTCAGGTGAGCCTCTGGGGCCACAGGAATTCCTGTGTGGTTGTTTCCTCTCCCTGTCTGGGTGAGTATTCTGCATGCTCCAGCCTTAGGGAGGTTTTGCTACTTTGGTGACTTTAGTTTCTTCACTGAATCTGTGAAATCCTGGGGAGATGGGTGCTGTGGTGTCCAGATGGCCCCGTCCTGACCAGGAACTCACAGCAGGCACAGTCCTGGTGCTCAAGAGCCCTGGCTCCTTGGCTCATGAGAATCTCATCCCAACTGTCCAGCTGCTGATCTGGGTTTGTTGTTCAAGCTGCTGACTCAGGGCCTCTCCCCACAGGACAATTACACCTTTGCACAGCCAGGGATCCAGAAGAAAGTGAAAGCCCTGGAGGAGCTGGTCAGCCGGATCGATGGTAGGTGACACGGGAGTGTGGTCAGGTTTGTCACTGCAGAGGGAGAGGCCTCCTTGGGGACAGCTCTCAGGGCAGGGGTGGACACTTCTTACAACACTCATGGAACCAGAGCAGGGCAGGGTCAGCCAGAAACCCCCTGCTAACAGCACAGGGTGAGAAGAGAAGGAATTTGGGAGAAAAATACCTCAGCCTGAAAGTGTGTGAAAGCCACAGTGCTGTGAGCAGCGTGCAGGAGCTGGGGCACTGTGAGCCCCAGGTGTGTAAGTGAAATGTGCTGTTTCAGAGCAGGTACATAATCACTTTAGGAAGTACGAGGTCGAGTACCTGCAGTTTGCCTTTCGCTGGATGAACAACCTGCTGATGAGGGAGCTGCCCCTGCGCTGCACCATCCGCCTCTGGGACACCTACCAGGTATGCAGGCTCCACTCAGCTCCCTCCTGGCTTGTCACTGTCACTTGTGTCCCTGTCCCCGTGGGGACAGAGCTGTCCTGGCACCAGCTGGGGTGCTGAGGGAAACAAAACAGTGTGGCCCCGGGATGCTGGCAGCCAGATGGGTGATGGGTGGCCCAGTAGGACACCTGTGTCTGGGGACTGCAGGAGTTCACCCAGAGTTTTGCTGTCCACAGTCAGAGCCAGAAGGATTCTCCCATTTCCACCTGTACGTCTGCGCTGCCTTCTTGATCAAGTGGCGGAAGGAGATCCTGGATGAGGAAGACTTCCAAGTAAGAGCCTGAGGTTGGGGCTGAATCCCTGGGGAAGGGAAGTAGAGGGGAGGGAATTGCTCTGGTTGGGAGCCCAATGTGGATATAGACATCCCATTCTAGCTCTGATCATAGTGTTTGCCCTCCTGTGTGCAGCTGTAACCCTGTAACAACACCCTTATTCCAAGGGGCTAGGGGTGCTTCACTGGTTCAGATCTAGACCCAAGCACATCTTGATGTTGTCCTTGAGCCTTTCAGACCTCTAAGTGTGGTGAGCAAAAGTTACTGAGCACTGCTCCCACTGCTCAGGCCAGCCCCAAGCCTGCACTGGATCTGTGCTCTGCCTTCAGCCTCTCCAAACTAAGCATCTTCCCCTCTTCCAGGGCCTTTTGATGTTGCTACAAAACCTGCCCACGATACACTGGGGTAACGAAGAGATTGGGCTGCTGCTGGCTGAGGCCTACAGACTCAAGTACATGTTTGCAGATGCCCCAAACCATTACCGCCGATAGGTGCCCACACTGGCTCCTCTCTGCCGCGCCCGCCCCTTGTCCTGGCCCGATCTGATCACTGTGGCATTTTTGTCATCCCAGCTCCTTGGACACTCCAGCCAGCAGCTGCTCTTTGCTGTACAAAGCTCACCTGAACTCTTGTCTTAACTCTGAACGTGTGCCTGTCTGCCACTCCGTGCGCCTGGATGTGCCATTTTGAGGACTCTCAGTATTTCACTCCGTGCTGGTGGCTCACGCCAGGAAGGGAGGCTTTGAGGGGCTCAGAGAGAACATGGGGGAAGCTTTACAGAGAAACTGAGCCAGAGACCAAGCCCTCCTGTCCTCTCCACTCCCTGTCCTGGGCTTGTCTGGCTGGGACCACGTCAGCTTTGCTGCCTCCCGTTGCCCTGCAGCACCTGCCCCATCTGCTCCCTCCTCTCTTCTGCCACCGTTTGCGCCAAGTCCCAGATGAAAATGCCTTATAGAGACCTGCCTGGCCGCAGAATCCTTCCCCACCAGGGTGGCAGGGCAAGAAGTTTCTCTCAGGGCCTCCCTTTGCTCCGAGGGGCCAGAGACCCCCCCCCAAGCACTTTGTGGGTTCACAAGAGAATCCCTCGTGCCTGCCCTCCCTCCTCGTCTCCTTCCTCTTGGCCTACCTCTCCCCCAGGGCAGCAGGGCAGGCACGACGGGGCCACGAGCACTCCATGCACACCCACCTGCAATGCCAGCCTGGTGGAACTGCTGCTGACTGATGTTCTGTGAGTACAGCCCCATCCAGCTGTGGGGAAGGCACAGACGGGGGTGCTGGTAGGGGAGCAACATCTCTCAAAAAACCTCCTGACAACGTCCCCACTCCTCCGAGGCGTTCTGTGTATATTGTGTTCTTGTGTATATGGGTCAAAGATGTACAATATATGTCTTTTCTTTGTAGCAGATTTTATATTTATAACATGAACCCCTTGTTCTCCCCATCCTCTCCACGCCTGAGAAGGATGCCTGGCTCTGGTGGTGTAGGGTTTTGAACCACCCTGCAGTGCTGGCTCTGCCCGAGGTGTGACACAAACCCAGCTCAGGGTTTGGGCAGGGGAGGAGCTGGGAGCTCCCAGCAGAAGCAGGGGAGAAGCTGCTGGAGCCACAGGGCTGGCAGTGCCCCCAGGCCCTGCAGGGCAGGGCTGTGCCAGGGCTGCTCTGCAGGGAGGAGCAGCCCTGGAAGCAGCAGTGGCTGTCCCCAGCAGCCCAGGCAGCTCTCCCTGCTGTCCCCCACAGCCTCCCCTGCTCTGGGTGCTGTTACCTCCAGCAGCTGGGGCTGCCTCCAGGGCCATTCCCTTCCATGGGCAGCACCTCTGTGCTGGGCTACATCTGGGAGGGCTGAGGGGACAGATCTGGGCCAGCCTGGGCTGCTCCCAGCACTCCTGCAGGGCCACCAGGGCTCTCCTGGCAGGGCTGGAGCATCCCAGGCCTCCACCTTCCCCTCCTGTTCCCAGGGGGGAGAGCAGCAGGCAGTGAGGCCTGGCCAAGCATGAGACAGGCAGAACCTTGTTGCCAATAAAACTCCAAACAGTATCTCAAGAAATCACTTTCCTAAGGTGGACTTGTTTTTCTCAGGCATTTGGACTTTGTGTGTGCCTTTTGTTGCTTTTCTCTGAGAAAACAGAGTGGTCCTTAGTTTAACATCAACTAAAAAAAGGAAATAATTAAAAAAACTCCACACAAACAACAACAAAAAAAACCCCTACAAACAAAACCAGCACAAGATGGGGCCTCTCCATGCAGCAGCCAGGGGAGGGACACAGGACATGGTGGAGGCAGAACAAGAAACCCCTCCCTGTGTCACCTCCTTGTCACTGCTCTGCCCACCTGCACCTGGGAGCACTGGGACAATTCAAACCATCACGGTAAGTTCTGGATTTCAGGACAACATTAGAAGGAAGAACTCTTTCTGAGGGTGGTGGTTTGTTGTTTTGCTTTTTTTTTTCCATACATTAGAACATTTATTTCTCAGAGAGAAAATATAGTCTCAGACAGTCAGATTATAGTAGGTAAAATTAGCTTTTTTTTTCTTTACAAGCATAGATTTTTCTTATTACTTCTCTTATACCATCTGATATAAACAATTCTAGAAAGCAAATAAACTCACTTTCTACAATAAATAGAGCAATCTGTGCTTTACAGCAGACTGACAGTAACATTTAGGTTCTGTAGCAACAACAGGATATCAGCCAATCCAAATTCTAAACTCATTTAAAAACCAAACAAAACGAAAAAAACCAAGAAAAAAAAAAAAAAGACCAACTCCCAAGACCTTAAGACATATACACAGGTCACTAGTCCACAGCTGAGCTACCACCTGGAAAAGTGTATGTTCCTTTAAATAAATTACACTGTGTGCATATAAAAGACCCAGCAACACAACTGAGGACTTCAAGAATGGTGACAATAGGTCTAAATAATTTAGAACATTTTACAGCTATATACACAACATCCTTCCCTAGCCACACTCCATGGGCATTATTATCACTATTAATATTTTTACAAACTCCTATGCCCCATCTCTATATGTTAAGGAATCTTAAAATTCCTTCAAATGCAGTTCCATGCCCCAATGTATAAGAAGTGGTATTTTTAAAAAAGTAGAGCAAGTAGAAATGGCAGTGATTACTCCCTACTATTCATTATCATTAATTATTATTATTTTTGACTCCACATTCTCTTCAGTATGAAAAAGTTAAAAATAATTTAAAAATACTGAGTTAAAAAGCAAAATGATGATATTCAATCTACAATCTTGCTTTGCACCTTTGGCTCTTTAAAATGGGAAAGCAAAGAGGGATATGCAACAGAAGAGATCAGAGAAATCATAAAGTCCTTGGCTAATAGAAAAGATTTAGTCACCAAGTTCCCAAACATCAGTTTGTCCCTGTTTTGTTTTTTTTTTTTTGCAATGCAAACCCAAACCAACAGGGATTGTCTGGGTTTACCTGGATGACAACACTGGAGACCCACACACCAGGGAAGGATGTGCACGTGTGGGAGAAGGTGAAACAGCAGAAGGGTTGTGTGCTCTGGTCAGTGCTTGCTTTCAGTCCAAAATGTGGCAGAGGAAAACAGGGAGACAGAAAAGAGGAGGGGGGAAAAAAGGAAGAGGAGCCTTACACCAAATGTGCATAAACCAACACAAAAGATGCATCTCCCTCCAACCCTGATCAACCTCAGTGCCTGAAGAGCTGCTCCAGCTCAACAGACACCTCCAAAATTACTTCTTAAAAAAAGGAAGTTATCTTTTCTTAGGTACTGTGCTAAGTCATGATATGAAATGTTACTGCAACAAGCAGAGTCACAGAAATCAGAACTGAAATGTGAAACTACAAAATCAATTTCTAAGACATACATATAGACACAGATCAGGTAATTTGATTTTCATCTTTAAAGCTCTGTGCATCTGTGCATGAAACTGTGCAGGGGGGGAAGGTTACCAAAATCTCAAGCTTTTCTAAATGCAATGAGAGAAATCTAAACATGAAAACACAATGTAGGTAGGCAGGAGAATCACAATCAGAGCTCCCAGCTATGATTCTGTGCGGTTTTCATGTGACAGGACAATGCCATTTAAAGGAAAATGAAAAGGCCAATGATGGTTAGGGTAAATTTGGCACAAGAAAGTCCAGTTGGGATTTCTGTAAAGAATCCTGGGGGTGCCAGGTTCCCAGGAATTACCTGGGACTGGCTGACGACTCAAAACCCTGGCGGTCCAGGAGAGGAGAGGACGGTGCATGAGGCCCCAACGTCCAAGTGCTGTGTGCTCTGCTCACTGCAGCAACTCACCTTGGCTCCTGGCACCTGTCAGCTTTTCCTACCTACCTTACTCCCTGTAGACTACATTTCATCTCCTGCCAGCTCTTCAGCAAGACACATTCAGGAAGAAGCCGGACAAGGGGGTTTTTTGGCACATTTCAGGGTACTCCGAGGCGTGCTGCCAGCTGCTGGAGGTGCTGCCCTCTGCCGTGCAGGGAGCTGGAGCTGTGGAGGAGCAGAAGGGCTGCCCCACCTCACAGGTAGGTGGCTGGGATGAAGGGGTTGTCCCCCTGCACTCGGCTCAGGTGGATCATGGCTCGGTCGTAGGCCACCTGCACCGACTTGCGGATGCTGGTTTTGCGTCCCTCCATCATCTTCAGCTTGTCCACGGTGTCATCCACGCCCAGGGGAAAGACTTTGTCCCGTGGCAGCCACTGCCTGCAGCAGAGAGGAGGGCACAGGCCTGTCACCTCCTGCCCAGGAGCAGTTAAACCCACGTGATGCATTTACTCATCATCACTGCCCCACAACGATGGGACAAATGTTTAAATCCCTGCATTTAACATAGAAGAAGCCCCTGCACCAAAATGCCTTGTGAGCACAGACTTGTCTCTGCATGTTTCAATTCCCCAATTTCCATGTAACATCATCAGAATCCCTCTGTGCTCCCAATCCCAAAGATCATGTTAAATCACACTCACTCTCACCACAGAGCTGTGTGCACACACTCACCAGGTTCTCTTGTTGTCAAAGAAAAGGACAAGGAAGAGTTTTTCTCCTGCCTCTGTCTGCCTCTGCTCCCCCAGCTTCAGGACATCCATGGGGGGCACAGGGATGGGGACCCCGTTGTGCAGCAAACCCTCACGTGGCATCTTGGGGTCGATGATCTGGGGACAAGGGGGAGGACAATCAGTACAAAATCCTTCCAAGCAATGAACAGAATGCATTATTCTTCTGTTCTTTCAGTGTATCCAAGCTAGACAAATTAAGGCTACTTTGGGTGGGTAAGCAGAATTGCTTGTTTTCTAAAAAAATTTCAGCCTGAGGCTTCCCCTGTGGCAGGGAAGCCAGTCAGTCCCAAAGCCAGGCACCCCATCTTGGAAAATGAGTGTCTGTGGTTTTGTGTGGCTGTAAATGCACTCACACTAATGTGAAATTCAGCACAAACTCAGCATTATTCTGTTCAGCAAAGGATTTTGCTCCCCCACACAGAACTCCAAATAAATGCAATGCTCCTGCTGTACTCCACAGGCAAATGTGATTTCACAACAGCTCCATTCTGGAACAACTCAGTTGACATCAGTGGCATTGCTCAGATTTACACTGCATTAGATCAGAACCAGGCCAAATATTTTGAGAGTTGACAAGCAGTGCTGGCTCCATCAAGCCAGATGAACAGAGACTACAGTAATTTGGAAGATAAGTCACAACAAATACATCAGTTCTCCCCCTATAAAGCAGAAATGTCCATGTGCACATTTGTGCTATGTCAGCACAGGAGAAGAAAACAGCAGAGGGTGCCTGCAATACTCAGTCTGTTCTCCCCCTCCTAAGGGCTTGAAAAAGTAGATTGGCTTTGACATTGGCCATCTGTAGGAATTTATTAAGACACTTTGCCACCACAACAGGCTGCTACAGAAAAAGCCTTTTTTGGAGGCAGTCTCAGTGGTTAAATCCATTCTAAGCCACAGTTTAACTCTGGCTGTAGCCACGTGGAGAACTAAAACTGCTTTGGCTGATCCATGGATGCTCCCTCTTCTGGGCTTCCACCTGGAGTAAGAGCATGGATGAGGGTGACACTTCCAGCAGAATCTGCCCTTTTTGGTGGCATTAATAGATAAATATCCAAAGGCAGACAGACACTAAGAAATACCATTCCAGGGACATGCATATATGCTCATATTTAAATCAAACATTTGGTTGTTGCAAGAGGATGTGGACATGACAGGGCCAGCTGGGCACCTACAGATGGAGCTGTGCTCACCAAACAGAAGAATGCAGGCAGCAGAACCTAGAGCCTGCATTTGTAAAATTCAGGTCTTCTCATCCCCACAGTACTGAATGACTTTCCTCAGAGGAGAGGAAAGAGCTCCTACCCCTGACAATGACAGACCAAAGTTTTATGAATCCTCTGCAAA